GCCCCAGGAGACCCCAGACGTCCAAGGACGCCCCCACGACGCTTCGCGTCACCAATTTCTTCTCACAACGATTCCTGGGTCTGTGACTCGACAGAACCTAAGCGCGCGCGAAGCGCGCGCGTGGTTCTAGTGTGTATATATATATATATATATATATATATATATATATATATATATGTGTTTATATATAGGAAGGGGACCATTTTTGCTTCTTGGACCTCTCTTGGGGTGCCTCTCGGAACGTCTTGGGCTGATTTTGGAAGCCTTTTGGCGCCTCTGGGCGGCGTTTTGGCGCCTCCTGGGATGTGTTGGGCCGGAAGCTCGGAATTCGAGAGTGGCTTTCTCCTTCTGGGACCCCTCTCGAAGTCGTCTTGGGGTTCTCTTGGGCCGTCTTGGGGCCGTCCTGAGCCACTCGTGCGCAGCCTTGGAGCGCTCCCGGAGGCCTCCTAGGCCGTCTTGGAGGCCTCTTGGGTCGTCTTGGACGCGGTGAAAGCCCAAGATGCGAACATGCAAAAAATATACGTTTTCCCATAGGAATGGCACGATTTGTTTTTTTGCAGAACACGTCGACGCCAGTCACACCTCGACTTGAAATCCTCATGGGCGATTGCCAATGCTTCAAGAGGCAGGCCTACCGCCAGACACGCAGTAAATTGTAGGCGACATGGCTCCGACCTGCCAACGGCGACGGGGCCGTCCAATGCCCTCTTGAGAACCTTACTTCAATCTATTCAACTTCCACCGGTTAAAAGGCAACTCCTGGGAGGTCTTCGAGCGAAGGACCCCTCACCCCCCAACCCCGCTCCCTCACCTCGTGGTCTTACGTGCGCAGCTCACTACTGGCCGCTCGGAACGCCTGTCGGGGTAAGTCCACGCTCAACGTGGCGCCCCGCGCGCGCTGCAGCCGCTTCCCTGAGGGGAGGTCTTGGATACCATGGGTTGGGGGAGGGAACCAGCGCCGCTGCACCCAGCTCTTATCTCGTCCACAAGCTTGTTCATATTATTTATCGATTATGTTAGCTTCTTCGGGCTTTCCCAAGGGACGTCTTGGAGGCGTCTTGGCCGCCTCGGAGCTATCTGGAGCTATCTGGACTCCGTATTAGGCCGTGTGGGGTGCATCTCGGGGCCATCGTGGGCTCTCCAATTGGAGGAAAGGTCTACATGAACATTATAATCAAAATGCAACGTGTCGAACAAAAATAAGGTACCTGGGCCACTCGTGCGCAGCCTTGGAGCGCGAAGCGCGCGCGTGGTTCTAGCTAGGATCGTCACCGTCGTCATCATGAACATCACCATCGCCATCATTCCCCCCGCCAGGGCTAATGGACATCGTTTCTGGATGCTTCTGGCCAGAATACGAAAGGAGTTTCTGTAGTTAGTCTCTGGGGAAAGTCGCGGGGAAGCTTTTGTTGTATTTGGTGTTGCGTCGCCAGGAGGTATGGGCTCCCTCCTCCTCGTGTTCCTACCTCCTCTCTGGACGTCCGATGTCGTGATGCTTTCTGTGCGCGGCCCCTGGACCTCTCGACGACTTCCTGGGGATGTGTGTTTTTTCATCCTGAGTCGTTTTCTGACGGTCCCGGGACCCTGCGAGGGGCCCCGGAGGCCGAAAATTGACCGAAACCGCCGTCGTGATTCTTCCAAGACGTCGGAGGTCCAGGTCGTGCTTCCCGCCTCCCCAGACCTCCGACGTCGTAATTTTTGCGACCTCGGGCCCAGGAATCGATTGGGAAAACGCACATGGCAAGGCAAGAAATGATGGACCCATCATTTCGCACCTGTGCCTTGATCAGTGGGACGGGCTTCGCACCGCCGCACATCACAAGACACGCTCGAGCGGATCCAGCCGTGGCGACGTCGGGGACTGCAGAAGGTCGCAAGGACACGGAATCTGAAAGGAAGAAAGAGAAAGAGAGAGAAAGAGAGGGAGAGAGAGAGAGAGAGAGAGAAACAGACAGACAGAGAGCGAAGGAGAGAGAGAGAGAGATGGATATATATATATATATAGAGAGAGAGAGAGAGAGAGAGAGAGAGAGAGAGAGAAGAAGACAGACAGAGAGAGAGGCAGAGAGAGGAAATGGAGAGGAGGCGAGCTTGAGTCAACGAAAGTCGCAGGGAAGGGGGCAGGGGGAAGAAGGCCAGAGAGCGCTGAAGGATACAAATACTGGAACCCTCTTGGGATTTTTTGGGGGGCCTCGTCCGGCCGCTCGCTGGGAGTTTGACGTAGCTTCTCGGGAGCCTCTGAACCTGTCGGGGGCCTCCTGGAAGCAGGTTCGAAGCATTTTGGGGGCCGATGTGGGGCTTCTCGGGGCCTCCTTTGGGCCTCTTGGGGGTCTCCTGGGGCCTCTTGAGGGGCCTCCTGGGGGCCTCCTGGCGGCCTCTTGGGGCGGAAGGCTCGAGCTTGCGGTTCGTGGTCCCCCTCTGGGTCCCCTCTTCGGCCCGTCTTGGGGCCCTCTTGGGCCATCTTGGGCGCCTCTTGGGCCGTCTTGGGGCCCTATTGGGCTGTCCTGGGGCCCTCTTGGAAGTTTCTTGGGCCGTCTTGGGGCGGTCTTGGGCGCCTCTTGGGCCGTCCTGTAACGTCGGAAAGCCCAAAAGGCAACTTTGTTGAAAATGTACGTTTTACGATGGGAATGGGCCAAATTTTGCGTCTACTGGCCCTCTTGGGACGCATGTTGGAGGCTTCTAGCAAGATGCGGCGACGGTCTAGGGTTCGCAGCATCGGAGAGCAGAAAGACGTCTATCAATCATGATCAACCAGCAAACCGCACCATCCCTCTATGCCCCCACGGATGCACGCCATGAGCCCCAGTCGACCTTAATCCTGCATTCTCCTCTCAACAAACCCTCTCAATCCCTTTCCTTTCCACACCCTTTTTGGCGGACCAATGGAATCACATTCCACGCGGCAGAGGAGCAGTTGCGGGCGCGGTGGACGAATTCCACTCGGCATGCAACGCGAAAAAGTATGTTCATTGTCGACGCGGTGGACGTGTTTCACTCGGCGTGCATTCATGAAACATACAGAGGGCCGCAGGTCGAAATAGGATTCCGCATTATCCCACTTCAGCTGCCTACATACCCTTTGCTTCATTCCCAGGGGGGCGCCTCGAGAAAACAACTCACACACGTACTCCTTTCTGCGGTCCAGGCGGCGCCAGAGCACCGCTCCCCTCGGATCCTGCCCAATGCCTGCCCACGAACCCCCAGGCCTGTCCAAGGTCAGCCCGACGGCCTATCCAATGCCTGCCTCAGGCTTACCTGGCGGCCTTTCAAGAGCTGATACATGGCCTACCCAGAACCCAGTGAAGGCCCGCACACGACCTAGCCAAGGCTCATCACAGATTTGTCACGTCCAAGATCTTTACAAATTTCACGTCTAGCGAACCACATGCGAGCGCCATAACGAATGTGAACACCCAAATGCGCGCGATCACCGTGCCCGCGCTCGTCTTACAACCGCGACGAAAATCTTTACAACGATGGGCTGTCGTGAAGGGTTCTATGGTGCGCCCACCTTCGTCGTGCAACCACCGCGCAAAATTTGCCAACACTGGGCCACCCTGAAGGTTTGAACGGTACGCGCCAAAAAAAATCGACAACGAAATAATCGATCCGACGGTCTTCCCAGTACCGCGGCGACTGCCGGGACTGATCCGAGTGTTCGCTTCCTTCGTGGCGGCCCTGAAAAAAAGCACACCCACCTCAAAAAGCCAACGTCTCGCGTGAGATATCCCCGAATGCTGACCGCAAGTGGGCAAGTGTCCCACCCCGTGGTCGCTCCCCATTGTGGCGCCCAGCAACGTTTGTTGCGACATCGCGAACACCACGCGGCCCTGAAAAAGACGCGCCTACATCCTTGAAACAAGCAACCCCAGCAGGGGCTGGCGACGGGGGACGACTCATCGTTGTCTGGCGTGGCCCCAGCTGCTGGAGGAACCCTTGCGCAGCTTCGCCTCGCCTCGCCGGCACGCGCGCCGCGCACGAAACACGACGCGACTTCTCGATGGGGGCACCTCACGTTCACGTCGGTCTCACCCCCCCAACCTCCGTTTCCTCCTCCTCCTCCTCCTCCTCCTCCTTCACTTCGGTCTCACTATCTCTTCGTCTCACCACCGACCTACCGATCTAAAAGTCAAGCTATGTGTCGATCACACTTTCTGCCCACAGGGACCGAGCACCCAGCGGGGCAAACGTCGATCAGGACAACCATCAGGACAAGCAACGCTACAACTGTCGGGACAGGCATCGGAACAGCCACCGGGACAACGAACAGGACGCCCATCGGGACAACTCTCGGGACACAACAATTGGGACACCCCTCGGGACAAGTGCGGCAACGGCTGGCGAAGGGTGGCAACTCATTTCTGTATGTCTTGGCCCTGGCCACTGGAGGACCGCGGCAAACGTCGAGTCGCATCGCTCGCACGCACGTCGCGCACGGAACGACGCCACCTCCCGGGCGGGTTGGGGCTCCAGACTCCCACGCGATGACTTTAGAGGCGAGCGCCCGATAAGTCCTTTTAACCTGCGCAGGTGCGAGGCTTTCGCTCGAGACTGCCTCGGGAATCAGGCCTCCGGTATCCCGGTGGCCGCCGCGGGTTACCAACGTGAGTTGGGGGCCCGAAAAGGAGGGAGTTCCCGCCCAAGACGTCCTCGCGACGCGCTCACAGACCAATGAGCGCCCGAGACATCCTCCCAGCTTGATCAGGGACGAGGCTCCCGCTCGAGACTTCCTCTGGACTCAGGCTCCCAGGCAACACCAAACTTGCGTGTTTCTACATCATGTTCCGATGGCCGCCTCGGGTTACCAACATGGTGGTGAACGCACAGGGAGGGGCTCCCACTGTAGACTTCCTCGCAATTCACTCACAGACGAGTGAGCGCCCAAGACATCCTCCCAATTTGCTCAGGAGGCAGGCTCCCGCTCACGAGTTTCTCGGGATTCTGGCTCAAAGGTTGTCACCAGACATGCGTTTTGACATGCGTTTTGCCACATTGAAGCATCACTCAGGAAAAAACGCAGAGCATGTCATGTGCTGGCATGGCTTCGGAAAAGAAAAACCGAAACAACAATAATCAACCAAATAGCCATCGCACACCATGCGAACGACATCATCAGGAAGCGTCGTCGTGTTGACCCGGAATAACTCAGATAAGCTGATCTTGTAGTCACCTGGCCCCGAGAGAAAGGGCACATGAACTCCTGGCATCCTCATGATAAAATTCAACTCGTCGTCCAAATCATCTGCCAGACCAATATAATCGAGCTGGAACTTAACACCGCTCGAATCCACCATAAACTGCGTCTGTGGCAGAAAATGCGGATTGCTGGATAGCGGGGATAACATTTTCGTGAGCCTTTCCACCAGTACCGTCTGATTGGCAAATGCTAACCTGTCTTGTAGGGTCAAAATTATTCCGCGGTTTTGCCTCGACATAACTTCATGGAAAGAAGACGCTACGCGTTCCAATGGATCTCTGATCAAAGCAGCCTTGAATCCATCATAGTTGACAAAAAAATCAACAACCTCCTGTCTGGTGAGTTCCATAGGTGGAAAAATCGTCTTCACCGTACCACCGTGATCGCTAGCGACCTTGAGCAACGACGTCCCACCATTCTTAAATGTATGAATAACGGCGGAGCCGTGTAAAATGACGACAGTGCTGAGGGCGGACTTGTGGAAGCCTGGGGCGCACGACCTAAATTTCTTCAGATGTGTTCTCTCGCTCCACGAGGTATCGAAATAGTGGAGGGATGGGACGGTTGATGTGGTGGAAGCACTAGTGCAAGACAAACACGTATTTTTTAACCGCAAAATTGCACGTCCAGTCGTTCCCAATCGTATTGCAGCAACGAACAGAGGGAACAAAATCGCCCACGCTGCTGCAACGAACAAAAGGAACACGAATACGCAAACACTCGGCAGCGTTGCCGTGTTCACCATGTATGCGCCGATACCTCTGCCGCAATGCCCGCCAGCACCCGGAACAACGAACGTGTTTGGCCAGCACTGCAAACCGAGCAAATACGGCTCAAGGCAAAAAAAGGCTTGAGCCTTGAGCCAAAATGGTTACGGACCAGGATGCTCCGATGGCCGTCTCGGATTGCCAACACGAGGCGGGAGGCCCTAAGGGAGGGTCTCCCGCTCGAGACGCCCTCGCGGTGCACTCACACTCTGGTGAGCGTCCGAGGGTTGAGTAAATCGGGGATGGACAGACCTCCCTTTAGTAAAACGTGGTTTAGTGAAATCGACCTGAGGCCCAAACCTGGCGGGCGCAAGCCTGGAAAATAACGGCCGCGGCGCCCTCTCGAGAACCGAAAACGGACAATTCACGAATCGGCGTGTCACAGTTGGGGGTTCTGTCCGCCCCTGAGTAGCGCCTGCGAGCCTGAATCCCCAGGACGCCTCAGGTCATGTTGGCAATTCAAGGCGGCCACCGGAAGCAAATCTTTCAAAACCCAGGTTTGTCGACACCGCGGGGGCCCGAGCCCCGAAGAAGTCTCGAGCGGGAGCCTCGTCGGTGAGCGGATTTCACGGAATTCGAAAGTGGGGGCCGTCTCCCTATGGGGCCCGCAGATCATGATAGTAACTCGAGGAGGTCATCTGAAAGCAAGTAAAGGCACAGGTGTGGTGACACCTGGGAGCCTGAATCCCGAAGACGTCTCGAGCGGGAGCCTCGTCTGTGAGTGAGTCCCACCAGCCCTCTGGGCGACAGGCGGTCTAACGATGTCTTTCTCTCCTCATCCGCAACCCCTTCTTCCCCTTCGGGGAGGGGTTCATCCCTCCACCTGCCCCCTCCCCTGGACCTGGACGGGGGGTTCCGCGAGGGGGTAGAGCGTCCAAGATGGCCTAAGATGGCCTCAGGAAGGCCTCAGAGAGCCTAACATACGTAGCCTCTAAGATCGTCCAAGATAGCCCAACATGGCTCAAGATAGCTAACAACATGCCTCCAAGAGGCCCCGAGAGGGCAACAAGACGGTTCGAGGTACTTTTGGCGACCCCTCAGGACCTCTCCGAGAAGTCAACATCCTTAAACAAACCTTTGGGGAATCACTGATGTTTGCCTTTCCCGATGCGCTTTTGAGGCCTCAAGATGGCCCTAAGATGGCCCAAGAGAGTTCCAAGAATGGCCCAAGAGGCCCCCAAGAGGGCCCCAAGAGCACCACAAGAGGCTATCTCGATGGCCCCGGAGGAGGGAGGGAATCGAGAGCCCCCCCCTCCTTTGATCGATGGTCTCCAAGATGGCCCCAGGAGGCGCTCCATCCAAGAGGGCCCCATAAGAGCCTGAAGGCGCCCCAAACGAGCCCCAAGAGGACCCCAAGACCCTCCGAAAAGCCCCAAGAGGGCCGCAAGATGCCCCAAAAGAGCTCCAAGAGGACCCAACTATACCCCAATACACCCCCGTAGCTCCAAGAGGGCCTCCGACTCTCCAAGATGGCCTCCAGGAGGGCTCAAAACCCGACATCCTCTCCTCTCCTTGCACGCTCTGGTGCACTGTATG